TGCGTCTCAAAAGATAAACAATAAATCATGCAGTTACACTACTAAAACTCAGATTACTTGTCAGGGTTCACAATGTTTTGATCCTCTAGGGACTCGTCTCACCAAATTACCATAAAGGGTAAAATGCTGATGCAAGATGCAATGGAAACTCAAAATTGGATGGGATGAGAAACTTGCCTCTTGAATGATGTCAAGCAATGGGATGAAATAATCCAGCGGAGTTTAAACAACTTCATCAAATTAAATTCCCAGTCAAATAAGGTCATGAGTGGAAAACAATTACACATGTACATGTGCTCTAGTGATGCGTCAAACAGAGGTTATGGCGCTTTAGCTTACATGCGTTAATGCTGAAGGAAGTACACTAATTAATTAATGGCCAGGGTAGCCCACCCTTGAAGGTTAGAAAGTACCACAATTGGAATGACAGCACTCTATGTAGGTAAAAATTTTGCTGTCTATCTAACAAAGGTACTTGATCATCTCAATATGAAAAAAAAACCGTGATTCTGGAGTGTGATAATGAGGCTGTTTCTCCAATGGTTAAGAAATAATAAGAGGTAAGTTGGTCTATGGACAGAACAGAGTTGCAGAAATAAAGAGATGCAGGGAGATTATCTCTTTCTCCACGTCTCTACCCAGGAGAATCCAGCTGACATGTTGTCACGTGGTGTCCCACTCAAGAAATTTGTGGGGGAAAATAATTTATGGCTCACGGACCGAACTGGCTTCTCTTAATGAAAATAACTGGGCTCAGCAAAAAAGTCACAATTGTGCCAGAAGAAGAAACATTCTGCTTGAACACAGCAGAAAATAAGTTGTGTAAATTACTGCAGACCAACAGAAATAGTCATTTGATGGATCAAATACTCATCTTTGGGTAAACTCTAAGAGTTACAGCTCTTGTCTTTGAATTCATTAAAGGAATAATAAACCTGATTATGATATGTCTTGTGAACCATTAAATACTGGGTGATGAGTGAAACTTATACAGAAAAGAACGTTTTCTCTACAGAAATATAAATTTCTAGAAATACACAAGATAAATCCCAATGAAACCTGTTATGATGAATTCTTTTAGGACTTTATCTTGACTCAGAAAAGCTTATAGATGTCGAGGAGAATTCATAATACTTCCACTACCTAAAGAATCCATACATCCTATGTTGATACCAAGAATCATTGGCTAACAAAATTGATTGTGCAAAACGCCCACTGTACGTGTTATCATGGTGGGGTAGCTGACACACTTGTTCATATACAAACATCCTACTGGATACCTCAAGGTCGGACAAAGTGTGGGAAAAACAAAAATAAAGGACGTATTACTTGTCGTCACTACGATATGCGAGTATGTCTGTTATCCAGGTCCACCTCCATATCCCTCTGAAAAGAGTTTGTCATAATCACTCCAGTTGAGGTGATCAGGTGTAGATTACACTTGGACCATTTATTTTAAACCAAAACAGTTGACATTGTTCCCTTCAAGGTGTACCATCTGTTTGTTCACTTTGTCGTGCTACAACTAGAGCGTACATCTAGAAGTAACATCTGACCTGTATGTCTGAAACCTTTATCAATTATTCAGAAGGTTTGACAGCCAGAAGGGCATGTCCTGACTGATTATTTCAGTTTAATGCAACGTACTTTGTTTGCTGGATGCTGCTTTTATAAGCAAGATCTTTGATCAACCAAGAAAGTACTACAGATGCTGAATCTACGCAGGTTGTGTTGGGAGATAACATTCCTCCTTAAATCTCCATGGGCACGGTGGATTTATGAAAGATTGGATCGGCATTGTAAAACGTTGTTGAAGGAAGACTTTCATCGTCAAAGGAATCGACTTAGAAGATATTCCGTACAGTTGTGAATGAAAATAGAAAAATTGAGTCAACAACAGAACTCTAACTTTGTACCGATGATCTGGACAATTTTAGAAGAGTAAAGTCATCTTCATTTACTCCATGGGCAGATGGCTCGAACCTGTTCCTCCCATATATGATAAAGAAATCATAAGAGGATCTACTTATTTCCGAAACCTGAGCAACTAGAAGTAGTAATTCAATCATCTTAATAAAGTGATATTGATTGTTGGAACGAGAAATTTGCGAGAAGACTATCTCACCTCATTGAGAGAAACACTTCTATGGAGAGCTGGTGTTCCTGAATCATTATGTCCTTAAGACCTGGTTGGAATAAGTGATTATCTACAATGATGGTCCGAGGTCCCAATGGACCCACTTGGAAAAATTGTGACCATTATTCATGATGCAAATGGAAATCATCAGGACAGTTGATGTTTTGAGCAAAGGTGTAGTGATTTTGCGGACAATAAATAAAACTAGTGCCGTTAGAAAGTACACAGTGTTGAAATACAAAATTGTGGATTTCTCCAGAAACCACACCAGACTAAGCGTTCAGAAAAGACAAGCAGCAGTAGGTGGCGTAGTGAGAAAATTAAATTTATTGTTAAGTGTTGAATAGTTTCACCTGCAGCAAACCTCCGCCGCCCCCCAGTTGGAGAAATTTTTCTCCAGGAGGGGGGTATCAGCCCTTCAGCCCTTTCTGCCACTCTGCCCCTCTTCAGCCCTGAGGGGCCAAGCCCCTCTCTAGAAGGGGATGTGAGGCGTCTTGTTTATGCTTGAGTGTAATTGAAAAATCACCGATGCTATGCCTTAGTCCAAGTGACTCTGCTCCTTGCAGCGGTGTTGTGTTGGTTGCAAAGTGTATTTTTATAAGAGACAGTACATTCTTACTTTAGACAGGACAATATAGGAACTTCTGCTCCTCTTTATTACCATAGTTAAAGATAGTGCTACGTGTTATCTATGCTTATGTCAGCAAGAAACATACATTCTGCTTTGCTTCATCGAGAGGAGGTGACAAGGATTGCAGGTACTAGTCAGCGTTTTTTTTTTTTTTTGTGCTAGGGCAGTGGTCGGTTTGGGCGGTGTTTTGTGTGGACGTTCTTTGTTATCTTTGACTCTAGGGAGTGTGACACTGACACCAGGAGAACTAGCAAAGAACATCTGATCTGTGCGTTAGTGTGACAAAGGTCTCAAAACAATAAAACATAGAGAAGTGTGATTAGCTTCTCTGTGAATACATTGTGACCAATAAAGACAAATCTTGTGGTAAACCTAGTGTTTGTACCAGTGTGCGTTTTCTGGACAATGGAAGACGTGGAACAGCCAAGGGGACACTTCAGCTTCTATCAAGTCACCGTTACCTGTCGAAGGTGTGAGAACACCATAGCTCACGCTACAAGAGCAAGGTATGTTACGAATTTTCTTGTAGATCGGGGGATTGCGCAGTTCTAGAGTCACATAGGAGTTGTAATTCAACCTTAGGCGGCAGTGAGGTGTGGGAATTTTGTGTCCTAAAACTGACGCCCCCCCCCCCCCCCCCCCCCCCCCCCCTACATCGTCAGCCACCCCAGTGTATTGATATATGCTGACATAACAACCCCCCAGGGTATAATTTATATACTTACATATTATATTTTTTTGACAGCAAATGTGTGAGATGGTTTTCGACAGCTTCTAGACCTGTCGGCAGGGGGGCTGTGAGACGATTTGCTTGTTCATTTATCAGCTAAGTGTTTTCCTATCATTTAAATATATAAATTACACATAGTGGTAAAGGCCAATATCTTCTACATGAGGAGTTGCAAGGTTGTAAATTAAAGAAGGCTAGTATATGAGGGAGTGCAAGGTTTTGTAAATTACAGAAAGCTAGTTATGAGGAGGGCAAGGATTGTAAATTACAGGAGCTAGTGTGAGGAGTGCAAGGTTGTAAATTTACAGGACGCTAGTATGAGGAAGTGAAGGCGTGTAAATTACAGAAAGCTAGTTGTGAGGAGTTCAAGGTTGTAATTACAGAAAGCTAGTATGAGGAGTGCATGGTTGTAAATTACAGGAATGCTAGTATGAGGAGTGACATGTTTGTAAATTACAGGAAGCTAGTATGAGGTGTTGTGCAGGTTGAAAAATACAGAAAGAGTATGAGTGCAAGGGTTGTTAAAAATTAACAGGATGCTAGTATGAGGTGTGCTAGGTTGTAAATTACAGAAAAGCTAGTATGAGGAGTACAAGGTTGTATAATACAATAAGCTAGTATTGAGGAGTTCAAGGGTGTAATTACAGGAAAGCTAGTATGAGGCGTGCAAGGTTGTAATTACGGAAGATTGTATGAGGAGTGCAAGGTTGTAAATTACAGGAAGATAGCTATGAGGAGTGCAAGGTAGTAATACAGAATGCTAGTGTGCGGGAGTGCAAGGGTTGTAAATTACAGGAAGCTAGTATGAGGAGTGCATGGTTGTAAATTTACAGGAAGCTAGTATGTGGAGTGCAAGCTGTTAAATTACAGGAAGGCTAGTATGAGGAGTGCAGGCTGTAAAATTACAGGAAGCTAGTATGAGGAGTGCAAGGTTGTAAAATTACTGGAAGCTAGTATGAGGAGTGCAAGGTTGTAAATTACAGAAAGTAGTTATGGAGGAGGCAAGGTTGCAAATTACAGAAAGGGCTAGTATGAGGAGTACAAGTTGTAATTACAATAGCTCAGTATGAGGAGTACAGGTTGTAAAGTTCCAGAAAGCAGTATGAGGGGTACAAGGTTGTATAATTACAGAGCTTGTATGAGGAGTGCAACGTTGTAATTAAACATTAATCTAGTACTATGGAAATAGCAAGAGGATTTATCTATAATATCACATTGTAACATAACAAAATAATGGTGTAACAAGACGTAAATGACAACTATTATTTACACAGCAATGAGAAGGTGTACACTCCACTATATGTGGACTAGTGTAGGTATAATCTATTCACTATTCAATTTCAGCCAGCCTATGTTTTACATGGATTTATTGACTATATGCTTTAAAGGATGAAAAATTGAATTGTAGTGGAAAGCTTATTGGTGGTTGTTATTCGTGAACAGTTACTCACTGTGACTAATATGGTTTAATTTATAACTTTTATATGAGTGTTTCTCTTTACCTTGCATCATCCTCATCTTTGAACCAAATAATATCTCAGTAAGTTCTTCACGGTCAAAGGTACGACACAGTGGTGGGCATGGATCACCACAGAACCCAACACAAGGATGTCCACATGGTAAACTTCATAGTACAAGCTTCTTCACATGGACTACCTGAACACTTCTCACCACAAAGAGTGACACACCTTGATTGGTTGCACTTCTTCTCGCACTTATCATGAAGTAGAAAAAAAAAAAAATCGATAACAAAATATTGCAATATTGACATCAAAAAATACATATGATGTTGAGTTACATAAATAACATCCCCCAAATTCAATATATACAGTAGGGCCCCAATTTATAATGCACGGTTAGTTCCAGGCTATTGCCGGAAAGCAGAAAAGCCATTTTTTCCACTTACGAATGCATATAATTGCCAACAACAAGGTTTACCGAACTTATTTTAAGTTAGTTAATAGAACTAGGCTTTAACAAACACTTTAAAAAGTAAAAAGTATTATACAGAATTCAAAATTTATTTATTTATTTGCAAGTACTGTACATTGAGGTTTGTATTTACAATAATGGGCTGCTGTGCAAGAGAGCTCTATTAGGCCTAGGCATTAGTACTTACCTTAAAACATTTGTAGTCTTATAATGTAGGGCAAGAGGTGAGTAGTTCTTATTTGTAAGAAAGTCAGGTGTTGGTAGTCCTGGCTCCCCATCGACAAAACTTAATATTCAATATTTAAAGCGCCCTGGTGATAAAAACTCACATACAATACACTCATTAGTTACCTTAAAATATGTGTTGTTTTAATGTTGGATGAGAGGTGAGTATGTATTTATTTGTAGGATGTCAGGTGTAGGTAGCCGGGAGGTGTAGCCTGCCTGGGACTACACCTACTGGTTACCTACACGGTGGCCCAGAGCTTGTTTCGTATTATCATAGACATACCTTGTTCACTGAATTTAAAAAATTCTAACAACTACCTTTAAAAAATACCATCATAAATGAAAGGTAGAAGTAATGAATATTTTATGCGTGAATTAGTAAACATAAGCAGAATGTTTAAGGGGAAGTGGCTGGGCCCAAACGCAAGAATTCATACATGTTTTCTCTGGTGTGTGAACCAGAGAAAAACGTATGTTTTCCTCCGCCCGGCTACCACACCTCATGCATCTAAACATAGCTTGTTTATATGCAGGCATAATTAAACACTATTTATCAGTTCTCACCAATCTAAATTAAAAAAATGCCAAACACTGTACTACTACTCAGCAGATTCACGTGATAACAAGGAGGGGGGAGGAGCATAAAAAAATGATGGAAAAACTCTCTCAGATTATGGGAACCACAAACTGGAAAAATCTAGGGATATTGTCCTAATTAACGTAAGAAACACCACTACAGCCTATTGATACAGTTAACAAGATAAACGACTTCTCAATCATAGCATCAAATCTCGCCAGTAAAATCCCAAGTATCAATGCCCGAGCAAGTGATTACTTAGATGGGAATTTTCCAGACTCCTTCTATCTTGCACCTACTGAGTCCACTGAAGTCACAACAATTATCAAGTCACTTAAAAATAAATAAGGGAATCTGTCTCAAGTCCCACCATTATTAGATTAGATTTTTTATTTTGATAAATTACATGGTTGTACAGAGGAATATAATAGCTGGTTGTACATGCCAAAAACCCCTCTATATGCTGAGCATTTCGGGCAAACTTAAAGATTAACTTAAGAATAGTAAGGCAATAATACATAGTTCATATGGTCATTAGATGAGTAAGAGTGAGTACATTAATATTATATCAGGGGATGCTACATGGTTTTGATAAGTCTAGTAGAGACTTTTTACACTACTGAATTAGTTAACAATTTAAAACATTTTACAGTGTGATGTATTACAGTTTAGTAATGTTTAAAACAATAAAATTTGGTATTACAATGGAACAATTTACATGAAGATGTACTGTATTACAATCTACTACCATTTAAAATAGTGAAAAGAACAGACATCCTAATTTCAAATGAGCGGCTCATGTCCTTTTGCATGCTATTTCATTACTTTTTAACAAGTCACTAGAAACTAGCACTTTCCCAACACTACTCAAGACAGCAAGGGTTACACCAGTACACAAGGGTGGCAACCCCACAGATGTAAACAAATATAGGCCAATATTAAACTCTACCGTTGCTGTCCAAAATCCTCAAGAAACTTGAACACAAGAGATTATATTCATTTATAACAGCACAAAGCATACTCAACCCCTGTCAATTTGGCTTCAGAAAAAATACAAGTACAAACGATGCAATTGTAAAAATGTTAGATCTGCTTTACACAGCATTGGAAAATCAGGAATATCCATTAGGACTTTTTATTGATCTAAGGAAAGGTTTTGATATCAAATTAAATCAAATCAAATCAAATGAAGTTTATTCTCTATAAGGATTACAATGCTGAGTTTACAGAATTTGGATATTGTGTGGTTTACATGTTTAAAATACTAATTACAGAGTGTACCACTAGAACACCTAGCATGGCTAGGCATTTCGGGCAGACTTAGATTAATTCTCAAGTTTAAGATATTACAAATTATGAGGTAAGTTGGTATTATGGCTAAGTGACTAAATACTAGTTTGTGAGTTTAGCAATGTGAATGCTTTTGTTTTTGCACAGTACATAGTTTCAGTATTGGAGTACCACAGGCCAACTTATGACTAGTTAGGATTCATTATTTTAAGATTAAGATTGATATTTCTGTGTTTATGGTCAAGTGGGTGAGTGAGTGTAAGTGTGAACCACCAGGTGGTATTCGTGTAGTTAGTTGACGGGTGTATCAGGGAGATAAGATGTTTTCTAAATGGTAGTTTTGAAGGTGATGAATGTGTCTGCAGTTTAGTGTTCTCAGGTAGGTGTTCCAGATTTTAGGTCCTTTGACAAACATTGAATTTCGTATTTCTCACCAAGAAGGTGAGAAATACGATTGAATTTAAGAAAAACATCATTGAACAATATGAAAGTGGCACAAGTGCGGCCGAAATGGCCAGGATGTATAAGAAACCCTACACAACCATATGTTCCATATTGGCCAAGAAAAGGAATCAAGGACACTGTTGCTGTTCCTGCTGCAAGACCTTCAGCAGGAACAGCAACAGATCACAGCTCAGAGAAGGAGGAAGAGAAATGGAAGAAGGTGCCTTCTTCTGAAATTAAAGAGATTTTTGCTATGTGGGGTAAGATGGAAAGCTTTATGGAGAAACATCACTCTGACAAGGTTGTTGCAAGCCATGTTGGCAACATGTACAGTGACAAAGTCTTGGGCCATTTTAGGAAAGTGTTAAAGAGACACCAGAAACAGAGCTCTCTCCCACAGTTATTTTGCGAGACAGGACTCCAGTGACTCTCAAGGTGGTACTAGTGGCATTAAGAAAACAGAGAAGAGAAGCAACCCAGAAAAGCAATTGGTACCTGAGGTGTTGCTGGAAGGGGATTTCCCTTCCAAACTGTAAACAATCCAATCTCTCTCCTCCTCCAGTCTCCCATACACTAAGAAGAATCTCCAATAAAGGTAAGTGTTATGCTGTTAATGTTTCATTCATCATTTCCCATTGTATTGTTTATGTACTACATCTATATTTCATGTAAAAAAAAATTTTTTTGTTTTAATAACTTCTGGGTGTCAGGAACAGATTAATTGTATTTACATTATTTCTTATGGGGAAAATTGATTCGCAAATCGTAGATTTCGATAATAGTAGCAACTCCAGGAACGGATTAACTACGAAAAATGAGGGACCACTGTACTTCTACGTTTTGATCATTTACTCATACTTTTTATTAATATATATACAGTTACCATCAGTTAATACTTTGTTAATGGAAACACACCTGGACAAGGTCTGCATGGGTTCTCCACACTTACTGGTTACAGCGACTGTGTAAACAACCAGTGGACAACTGATTCTGCCATGGTGGACAATCACTGCTGTCAGTCAGCATGCATCTGTCAAAGAGGTTAAAAGGAAATGACAGTATTGTATCAGAAATAATATTTTATTCAGAAACTTTTAATTCCAGTGAAAGTTTCCAGGAGAGAATGTTATTTTAGTTAGTTATGGACATAGTATAGTCAATTAAATGAACAAGAAGTAATTCTGTAAACCCAAACTGCCTACTCATTAGTATGTTATTATTTTATGAAGCTTGCAACTGAGAACTCATAGTGAATCCACTAAACTGTGATAGGCCTCACTGTTGTCATTTTTACAGAAATCTTAATGCTGTCAAAGGGTAATTAATGACAGGCCTTATGTCTGCTTATTTAAGCATGTACATACATGCCATATGTATGCATGTTTATATGAATGTATGCATATTTATGCATGTATGGATGCATACTTGTGAATATTTATACAAATGCATATGTGCATGAATTAACAAGGCAGGCAAAATTGTTGACCTGGAGAGTATACACAGAACTTTCACAGCACACATAAGTATGATGAGGTACCTTAATTACTGGGAATGGTTGAAGGCCCTTGATTTGTATTCCCTGGAATGCAGGCAAGAGAGATACATGATAATATACACTTGGAAAATCCTAGAGGGATTAGCACCAAACTTGTGCACAAAAATCACTCCCTGTGAAAGCAAAAGACTTGGCAGGAGATGCAACATTCCACCGATGAAAAGCAGGGGTGCCACGAGTACACTGAGAGACAACACAGTAAGTGTCTGGGGCCCAAGACTGTTCAATTGCCTCCCAATATACATAAAGGGGATTACCAATAGGCCCTGGCTGTCTTCAAGAAAGCACTGGACAGGCACCTAGAGTCAGTACCTGACCACTTGGGCTGTGGTTCGTATGTGGCTCCAGGCGGACATCAACCAAATCTTTCAGTGGGCTGCAGAAAACAATATGAAGTTCAACGATGAGAAATTTCAATTACTCAGATATGGTAAACACGAGGAAATTAAATCTTCATCAGGTACAAAACAAATTCTGGCCACAAAATAGAGCGAAACACCAACGTCAAAGACCTGGAGTGATCATGTTGGAGGATCTTTACCTTCAAGGACCATAACATTGTATCAATCGCATCTGCTAGAAAAATGACAGGACGGATAATGAGAACCTTCAAAACGAGGGATGCCAAGCCCATGATGACACTCTTCAGGTCAC